TATGAAAACATTATTCATTGGGACTTGAAGATCGGTCATAGTGACCTTTGTCTGCTGCTTCAGATCCTGACTGCAACTGTTTAAAATACTGCCTCCTATTCTTGTAATAGCCTCCCTCTTTCGAAAAGACCACATAATCCAGGAAAACACTGGCATCCATAGTATTCAGAAGTCAGAGCTCCTTTTTGCATCACCAAGTTCTCTGTGCCCGTCATCTGTTATCAAAAGTGAAAGACAGGATCTACTTAAGCATAAATACAAACCAGATCAAGAGATTTGAAAGGGTCAGATCTTGGTAGCCACTGCTGGGAGATAATCTGTGAAATATTTATCCTTTACATTGCTGCATTTTACACTTCTTGTCTTCTAAGATCTGAGATATTTCCACTAACCTCTCTTGTGACTATAATAATCCTCCCCCTTCGAACACATTGTGCTGTCCACCAGCAAAGCTGCATATGTCTTCAGGATAGTAATGATAGCTGATGGGTCCATCTCTTTAACAAAGCCTGTGATATAACTCAGTATTGCACTGTTTCCTCTGGGATGTCTGTGAGTTTGCATTATCTGTTCAGCATTCAGGAATGTGAAGGGGGTCAAGGCTGCTTCCACATGAGCCAGTTCATCAGTGTTAGCCCCGGAAATCCATTTCGTTTTTCTTCTTTCCTAAATGTTAAAATCACACACAGCCTCACCCCTGAGATACATTAAAGAAGCTACTGGGCCAGCCTTGCAAGATGCTGAGGACTCTCAACACCAGTGCAAGCAATGGGAACTGAGGGTGTTCAGCACCTCATTCAGTGTACATTTCAATTTGAGGGCCTGGTTGTTTCAGGTTTGAATTGATTACACAGTCTTTCATCTTTGGGTCACTGATTTGAATATTACCCAAGCAGAGCATCTGATTTGTCAGTGTCGTATGTAAAATAGACTGGTGGCCTTAGTTGCAGTCTGATTCCTAGCATTCACACATCAGAAAACAGTGCCAGTGTTGGCAGTCTCAGCAGACAGTCAAAAGAAGGAATGGGGATAGGAAGTGAACTACTTTCTGGTCCCTAGGACTGTGTTTACAGCAAGAAATTTAGGATTTTGCCACAATTGCAACTTCACTTGGTTTGCACCTCTACTGGTTGTAGCAACATGGAGATTGCTGCGTGGACAGCATCTGGATGTTTTAACATCATGTTTCCTAACTCTGAGTAGGATTACCATGTCTGCAGCTGCAATAGTAGCCCTAAATTTGCAAGTGGAGATGTGGCCTAGAAATGAAATGTTAACTGTTTGCAGTTGGGAGAGAAGTTAAATGTTAGGCGATAGTGGAGGTTTTATGCCACACAGGGGAAAATAAAAATTCCTTTCCACTTGACCATTAGGTTCTTGATGGGACATAATACAGAGCAATGCTGCTTTAGTCTTAAGGTCTCTCTCAGGAGCAGTCTGTAAAATAAAGCAAATTTGGTGGGGATCACTTCTGGAAGAAGATTGAAAAGT